GTGTCGATGTAAATTACGAGTTGCCCCTTTGTTTAGCGTTTGTGAAGCGGAGACACATTGAAAGAACAATGATAAATATGTAAATGCTTGACGAATATTTTTACTAAATTCTTACAAAATATCTCTTTTCAGGTTTGTCATCGGCCTATGCGATTATTTTTGGAACAAAATAATTAGTTGGTTAAAATTATAACAACGCTTTTTATCTTAATCGCGTTAAGTTTGAGACTTAAATTGATGATGTCAGTTTTCGAATAGTTAACAATTGGAAAGATCGATTCGCGTCTACATCGGGAAATTCTGTTTGGTAGATTTTCACGAGAGATGATAATGCAACGAGCGAGAAAATATTTGAATATGAAAAATATATTTCTTCCGACTTTTAATAACCTCGACTTACACTGCTACCTGTTCAGGATCGCATAAAATCTTTCGTTGATGTTTATACGCGTATACAGCTCTCATGATAAATTAATCAAGGATCAATGGACTCTACTTCAAATTTTTCCTCTAACATACATAATTATTATGTGTTTTTAAAATACAAAATACCTTTGTACAATATTTACGTTACCGTATTTGCGTGATAAAACTGTCTGCAATATGGAGGTGTTAGAAGCTTTATTTTACAAACAAGTTCGTTCATTAGATCATCGGTTACGTCTATATATTCTAAGCTGCACTGAAAAAAACTAAGTCTATTCTGGTTTACATAATGTATTTTGGTTTATAAATGTTCTCTTATAATGTATCTACGACAACGTTAGAAGTGCATCGAATGATCAAGATTGCTCGATGATTGATTATGACAGGAGTCGTGATAATATCGGAAATATCATCCGACGTTATAACTCCAACCAGATATTCGCGATGAATCAAAATATTCTTGTTAATCTTTTATTTGCTAAGATAAAGGTAAATAAAGATACAATAAACTATTTTCACTAGATACGATTATTCGAATTTTGTTATAACTAAGGATGTGCCGGATAGTGAATTTGCCGGATAACCGGATAATTTGCCACTTTTGACTACCGGATAATCGGATAACCAGATATTATCCGGCAATTACGCGAAGAAACTGAAAAAATAAGTTTAACTGTGTTTTAATGTAAAAAAAGCTTATATTTATAGTTATGTGTACATTTGTTACTATTTTGGGCATAATTTAACTATTTTATGTCGATAATATTGGTGAATCGTTTAAATTATTTAGGGCCGTATTCATAGCCGAGATTATGATGCATCGAGACTAATAATGCAACGTCTTCCTTTGAAAGTAATCTTTATGATGCAGCTCATGAAAGTATTTAGAAATGTTTTGATGAAATCGCAAATGGATCAAAATCAGATGTTGACACAAGTACAGAAGAGGAGAACAACGTATCTTTCAAAAGACAGCCCAGCGATAGAACGAAGAAAAAAACAATTGTATTCACCGCAGAAATAAATATCTTGCTATACCATTAATATCGCGAAATGAAGATCCAGTACTATGGTGGAAAACTCACGCTTCAGAGTTTCCAAATTTAAAAATGTTATTTCTTAAATATTGTAGTGCACCTCCAAGTTCTGTAAACTCCGAAAGATTATTTTGCGCCGCAGCAGCCATTTATACAGAAGACAGAAATAGATTACTTCCAGATAATGCAGAAATGCTAATATTTCTTATGAAAAATATGAAATATTTAAAAAAAATACAAATTAAAAATTAATAAATAATAATCTCATATATAATATTTCCTTTTAATTAATTCAATGTACGTATTACAATTCAATAATTATAATAATTAAAGTCAAAATCAAACAATAAAAGTATTTATTTTTAATTAGATTGGCTAAAATAATATATTTTGATCTGTAAAATCTGTATTTCATTAAACGTTTGATCAATTTAACTAAATAAATAGATAAATATTTTTATCAGTGTCCTTTTTAATTTTTATTTTTTTATACAGTTATATGTGAACGTATATTAATTTTTGTACGGTTATATGTAAATTTTTTAACGTTTTATTTTAATTTATTATTCATTATATTTAACAATTTAATTTTAAATCACCAGATCGGTTGGATTGTGAAAAATAATTTAAAAAATCGATTAGAATTGAATAGCCGGATGCTTATCGGATATATTAACTATCCGGCTATCCGGCCGGATTGTAAAAAAGTAGCCGGATAGGCCGGATACCGGATACTTACCGGATATCCGGCACATCCCTAGTTATAACCAGTTGTCATGCTCGACCTCTTGATCATTTAATGCATACTTAACTTCGTTTGAAGTAACATTTTATAAATCGATGCATATGAATGATCGCTCGGTATGAAATAATAAATTGCACACAATTAGTTGTTCTGAAGATTAATATTTGTCACATAGTGATGGGTGTTTCGCCAATAACAATAAAATAGAGACAACTGCGCATCTAGGAAGTCAGCAATTCGTTAATTGGTATTTGAAGAAGATTTTATTCACAGTTGTCTGAATGATATTAGATGCGAATAATTGAATTTATTACTTATAAAATTTAATTTTTCTTACGCATGTTTCGGGAAGCTATAGCTCTCCAGTTGTGTTGCAGATAGAAATTTATGTCGATGATTACTTGGGAGTACCATTTGCTTATTATTTCTGAAGTGGTTTTAACATCTTCTATGCTTTCAAATGTCATGCTGACGTAATAAAAATGTTGAAATATTTATGTCTTTTTCCAACGCTCATAATATCCACCTTATATAATAATGCTAATATTGGTATCGACGAGACGAAGGTGGCTACTTGGAAGGAACATATTACGAAGCGAATATGTAAAACATAATTATTAATTTGTAAGCATTGATAGCGGGACGAAACTTTCGCGCCCTGAGGAAGATGAACCGCAATAGATCGATGATTTTTGCTGGATATTATTTCAAGAGATTTAAGGATTATGTATTGAAAGAGAAAAAAATGTAAAAATATTGAATATATTAGGTGCGCAACTAAGTTCTCGCTGTTTTTTTGATGAAAATGCAATTTTATTGTGAAAAAATGGTTACAAATGAATCATTCAAAATATTGCCCATCGCTAGCGACAACTTTTTCCCATCTTTCTGGCAGAGCTCGAATACCATCACGGTAGAAGTGTTCGTCTTTTGAGGCTATCCACGAATCAAGCCATTTTGAGATGTCTTCGTATGAGCGGAACTGCTGATTAGCCAGACCATGTGCCATCGAACGGAACAAGTAATAATCGGACGGCGCAATATCTGGGGAATATGGCGGATGGGGTAGGATTTCCCATTTGAGCGTTTCTAAGTAGGTTTTAACGGGTTTGGCAACGTGAGGCCGAGCGTTGTCATGCTGTAGAATCACTTTTTCGTGCCTCTGCTCATATTGTGGCCGCTTTTCGCGCAGTGCTCGGCTCAATCGCATCAATTGAGTTCGATACCGTTCCCCAGTGATGGTTTCGTTCGGTTTCAACGGCTCATAATAAATAACACCGCCCTGGTCCCACCAAATACACAGCAAAACCTTCGCAGCGTGAATATTCGGCCGAGCCGACGACGTAGAAGCATGACCGGGCAGTCCCCATGATTTTGTTCTCTTTGGGTTGCTATAATGAATCCATTTTTCATCACCCGCAACGATGCGATGAAGAAAACCCTTCCTTTTTTGCCGCTGGAGCAGTTGTTCACAGGCGAAAAACGATGCTCAACGTCTCTTGGCTTCAAATCATAAGGAACCCAAGTTCCTTGTTTTTGAATCATTCCCAACGCATGCAATCGCTTGGAAATGGCTTGGCGGGTAACTCCTAATGCTGAAGCAAGCTCTTTTTGCGTTTGACACGGATCCTCATCGAGCAATGCCTCCAATTCAGCGTCTTCGAAGGCTTTTGGCCTTCCTTCACGCGAACGGTCGTCAACATCGAAATCACCGTCTTTGAAGCGACGGAACCAATCACGGCACGTTGTTTCACTTAGAGCAGCATCTCCGTAAACTTTTTGGAGTTCTCGATGCGCTTCAGCCGCCGTTTTCTTCGAATGAAAGAAGAAAAGCAACACTTCCCGCAAATGACGATTATTTGGCACAAAATCAGACATTTTCACACAACCAAAAGTATATGACGCAAAACAAAATCACTAATGTGTCAAAGCGGTTTGTTTACCATATGTCTAAGCTTGGTTCATGACGTTTTGGTTATGTCACAATCGACCACTACTGGAGCCATCTCTTGAAAAACAGCGGGAACTTAGTTGCGCACCTAATATTTTTAGCTGCTGTTAAATTTTAAGCTGTCGAAGAGAAGAGGAGAGAGAGGAAGTTAGGCATAATTAATATATTATCTCAAATTTCACTTGTTACGTGCATAAATCTTTACTGCGTTTATTGAAGTTACAAATAAATTTGTATAATCTAAGCGTCGTTATTTATGTTATTTACGAAGATAAAAATATTAATATCGCAAACGCATTAACACAAAACTGTTTTTCTTCTGTGAGGGAAACAAATATCTTGCCTATTGTACATATTCTTTTCCTTCTAGGAATTCTCTCAAGTATACTTGTACTTTCTGGATAATTATATATTTAAATTTGCTTTACAGAACAAAATTATTCTGAATGTCGTTTAAGCTGATGCTTCAATAAAAAAATTTATTTTCGGACTGCTAAAAAATAATTTGTCTTATTGAACCATCGGTTAGTGTCGTAAATGTTCCGAGAACAAATTGTTCACATTGTTTCAATTTCAATTCTACAATCGTATATATTGTAAGGTCTAGGACTTTTAGGTCTATACACAAGGATCTATACACATTATTTCCAATAAGGGTGGTAGCGTGCAAAATGGTCATGATTGCGACAACTCGCGAGCTTGATCGGTTATGATGAAAGTCGAAGTGATAGTATACGAGATATCCGACGTTGCAAATTTAACGGAAAAATTGCGAGAAACATGGGTATTTTTATTACACTTTTATCCATCGGATGAAAATACAATAAAGAGATACTATGTGTACCGTATATTATCATGCGAGTTCTATCACAACTGTAAACTTGCGAGCACTCGTTCGCATTTGATGCGCACCGAACACGATCAGAAAAAAGCCATTTTCCAAAGCATATACGACTTTTCTTAATAAAATAATAAATAAGTGTTGCACAACTGATTGTGCTAGCGAGTAACACTTGTTATAAAATAATTATTCTCCTCGTCACGATCATAAAATCAAAGCAACAGCGCGTTTTAAGAAGTCATTAACATATGAGTTGGGAAACTCGTGTAAATCCTATTCGAGATGGTTTGGATAAAGACAGCTGCTGTGTTTTCGATTTTATAGATCAATTCGGAAGTCACTTCATCCCACTCTAGTTTAAGATAATGATTTACCAACAGCATTAGATCATCAGGATTACCTATTTCTTGTTTATCAGTCCTTATGTGTCCAATCTCTCTGAATCGCATGATGACATTCTTCACTAAGAAATATTGTGCATTCTCTTCTTCGTTCACTAAATTCGTGCCTCCTATAGTAATTTGGGCAATGACGTCCTCAAGATCGCTGCTTAATCTGTATGTACTACTTTTAGTAAGCGTAGTATAAGGCTCGAATAAGGCATATGCGTCGAACTCAGTGGACACACTGACGAATGAAAAGTGTGCGAGAAACTGAATAATCATTCCTGTGATATAACCATTCCTCTTGGAAACCCTGAAAACAATAATTTTAACATAGTTTGGTCAGTTGGTCACCAATCGCGGACGGATACATCATGTGGATCGTCTTGGTTGGTCAAGTTGCTATCATTTCCTTTGTCATATGGTGAGTATTGTCCGGATGTGTCAAATGATCGCTTAGCGTATTTTTGAGGTCTTTAACAGTTCCCTCGGCCACTATAGGAATTCTCTATCCGACAATATTCGTCGTACAAGTGAAATATTGGCTTAACGGCATGAACGATTTGCCGATATGTCCGTTTGTTAGGAAGTAATTACTTACTTGACTTCACTTATCTTGTAGTTTGATATACCGTTAATATATGTATTTCTAAACGTTATCATAGCGATATAATTGTTTTCGAAGGTTATATTGCAAAATTTTGTATAATATGGCTCGAAAGCGGGTACGTTCAGAAACGGAATACCATACGCTATGTAAGATCTCATCGATTCCAGGCTTTGCGGTAAACATGTTTGGAGCTCCGATCTTGGACATATGTGTAGATCCGGTACTAACAACAAAATAAAGTATCCTTGCAGTCTTTCTTTCACATGTATATTAAAACGACGTGAGTCGTCAATCTCACGCTTGATCCGGAAGGCTTGCGTTTTTCGTGAGAAGAAAAGTCGACGCGGATCGACGAAATACGTGACATCGCGCGTATCTGTTACAAGATAGTCGCAGAAAACTGAGCATCACACGTGCTTATATCCGTTGCAGAATATTACTTTATTCGACGATCGCAGTGTTACTTACATATGTTCTTTATGTGAGTAGCAGACATCTTTGCGATCAAGTCGCTCGTTAAAACGAGGAGCACAAATGTGGTACGCATTACTGATTATGGAAAGGTCCTTGCTTCGGTTCGAACTTAACAAAATGCTGAGCGATTTCGACGTGTAAATTTATCGGCAGTGATGTAACCGTGTGATTTGGATAATAATCCAGCTACCTCGCGCTGTTTTCGATCTCACAACTTCCGTTAATATATTTGTTTGACGTGTCGAGAGTATATTTTCAACAAAGCGATCACGTGTCGACAGGATGTAAATCACAAGTTGTCTCTTTGTTTAGCGTCGAGGCGGAGACACATTATGAAGACAATGATAAATATGTAAACACTTGACGAATGTTTTTGTTAAATCCTTGCAAAAAGTCTTCCTTTACGATTGTCATCCGCCGAGGCGATTATTTGGAACGAAATAATTTGTCGACTAAAATTATAATTATAACGTTGGTTATTATATTATCTTAACGCGACGTGTTAAGTTGGAGATTTGAATTGATGACGTCAGTTTTTGTAAAGTTAACAATCGGAAAGATCGACTCGCGTTCACATCAATAAATTCTGTTTGTACTGAGAAAAAGACTTCTGTTGTTATAACAACTGAATGTGTGCTATTTAATAATTGTATGGGGAACAAATCAAAAACAGTTACCGCAATAAACTATTTCTCGTTATAATTATAACAAGTGTACATCGCTAGAGATGCAATATCAATCATATATGTTTGTTGGATTACAAGTTCTAGTTAAAAGAATAGTAACATAAAGGCGTAATATATGGCACGCCGTTTTACTTTTTAATGGCATAAAAGATATTCAGCATAATGTAAAAGTTCCAAATAAAAATGGCTATATAAAAATTATGTTTTAGTCTTTTGAAATATTATTATGTCACGACATAATAATAATTCGGCAAATTATAATTATGTGCCCACATAAGAAAAATACTGCATTTCTATTATGTCCCGACATAATTATAATTCATCAAATTACTATTATGCGAAGGCATAAATGTAATACGTTGAATTATGGTTATATAAGTACATAATAAGAATGTACAAAAATAATTATTATTATGTCGTGACATAATATTAATTCCGATATTCTTATTATATCGGGACATGATAATAAATCCGTATTTCTATTATGTATATAATGGAAATTCAGAATTATCATTATGTACATAATAGAAATTTGGAATTATTATTATGTCACGGCATAATAAAAATTCGTAATTATTATTATGTCCCGACATAATAAGAATACCCGAATTAATATTATGTCACGACATAATAATAATTCCGAATTTCTATTATGTACATAATGCTAATTCTGAATTTCCATTATGTACATAATAGAAATTGGGAATTATTTTTATGTACATAATAAAAATATGGAATTATTATCATGTCGTGATATTAATTCCGGTATTCTTATTATGTCGGGATATAATAATAATTCTGAATTTCTATTATGTATATAATAATAAATCTGAATTTCTATTATGTACATAATGAAAATTCAGAATTAGCATTATGTACATAATGCAAATTCGGAATTATTATTATGTCACTGCATAATAAAAATTCGGAATTATTAATTTTATGTCTTGGCATAATTTTTATTCAGGTAGAGATTATTATGGCACAACCAATTTAATTATTGCTGGTAGTGTGTTGACATAATAATAATTCAGTTTATTCTTATTTACGTTGTTCTTCGCATGCGTTGCATAAAAAGAATATATAATATACTTCAAGTCTGTTAAAAAAATAATGTAAATAAATATTTTAAAGTAGTATTGCTATTTCTGCAATGTATCTCACTTTATATTATTTTGTAACGTTGCTCATGGAAATATTCAACCTAAAATAAAATTACTTGTGTCATAATATAAATTGGCACATTGAAACTGTGACATCATTTAGGGTAGATAATGTAAAAATGTTTTCTACTTAATACATGTTACAAATGCACATGTTCAACGCGTTGCGTTAAAATTTTGTTCGCGTATTTAATATCTAGCAAAGTAAAATATTTTACTATGCTGGGACATAATAAAAATGCATTATTTTTATGTGTGACATAATAAGAATGACTTCATTTTCTTTATGCACCATCTAATTGACTACGTTGCAGTTGATCACAAATTGCTCTGATTGGTTTATTCTAGTAACTAACCAAAAGTAACTAAAACTTTACTGTAAATTTTATTGTAAACTTTACTGTGATTGGTGATTTTAAAAACTCAGATGTGGCCAAGTGTGAATTTTTTTCTACCTGTGCTGGTAGAATTAAAATTATGTCCTGACATAATTTAAAATGCATCTTATTATGTCGCAACATAATGATAATGTTTCCAAACCAATTCTTGTTTTGTTTTAAATCGGAAACATTATTTTTATTATACTTTACAAACGCATGCCATTAAAAAGTAAAACGGCCTGCCATAGTAATATATTGGGTTAAGTAAAAAGTTTTGAGTGTTTTCCGCTAGATGGCTTTAGTGAGATCATATCTCACAATGTATACGTCGCATCTGGTCATTCTATACTGCGACTTAAAGGTGACATAACGCTTTAAAAAAAGTTTTGTGTTTGGTGAAGCCAGTTGTGTGTTAGCGTTCCAAAATAGAGATAAAAAAAGAGAAAATTCGATACATTCTTCAGTACCACTACGATCAAAGGGAAAAAGCGGAGCAGGCGGCCAAAAAAATTTGTGCTGTTTATGGACCCAATACAGTATCGAATGCAACAGCAAAGTGGTGGTTCCAACGATTCCGTTCTGGTAATATGGACGTCGAAGATGAGACACGCTCTGGTAGGCCAATCGTCGAAAATGTCGATAAAATCATGAAAATCGTCGAGTCGGACCGGCATGCGAGCACTTATTCCATTGCCCAGGAACTGAAGATTAGCCAGAAAACCTTTTGGAACCATTTGCATAAGGCTGGTCTCAAGAAGAAGCTCGATGTATGGGTGCCACACGAATTGACGCAAAAGAACCTTTTGGACCAAATTCATGCCTGCGATTCTTTGCTGAAGCGTAATGAAATCGACCCATTTTTTAAACGGATGGTGACTGGTGATAAAAAATGGGTCACATATGAGAACAACAGGCGAAAAAGATCGTGGTCCAAGCGCGGTGAGCCGGTCCAAACGATCGCCAAGCCTGGATTAACGGCCAAGAAGGTTTTACTGTGTGTTTGGTGGGATTGGAAGGGAATCATCCACTATGAGCTGCTCCCATCGGGCCAATCACTCAATTCGGACCTACACTGTCAACAACTGACCAGATTGAAGCAGGCGACCGACGAGAAGCGGCCAGAATTGGCCAATAGGAAGGGTGTTGTGTTCCATCAAGACAATGCCAGGCCGCACACATCTTTGACGACGCGCCAGAAGCTCCGAGAGCTTGGATGGGAGGTTATATCGCACCCGCCCAGACCTGGCTCCAAGCGATTATCACCTTTTCAAGCATTTGCAAAATTTTCTTGATGGTACAAAACTGGCCTCAAGAGAGGCTTGTGAAAATGAGCTGGTCAAGTTTTTTACCAATAGGGACGAGGACTTCTTCAATCGCGGAATTATGAAATTGCCTTCAAAATGGACAAAAGTTATCGAACAAAACGGTGCATATTTGGTCTAAATCCAATAATCCTAACTTTGTTAATTTCATCGTCGAAATAAAGAGAAAAAACGCTCAGAACTTTTTACTTCACCCAATATATAATATATACATGTAGATGACTCTTTTTTAATGTATATTCTGAACTCTTATATATACAGGGTCTTCAAAAAGTCCAGGAACACTAAAATATTTTGAAAAATATGAAAGATACGAAAAAATGTTTGATACAAAAGTTGTAGGGCTTAAGGGTCTACAAGAGCCATACTAGAGACCTCTCACGCAGACCCGCGAACTAAGCAAAATTATATTGCAAATTATGAACAAAAAGAGACGAAGAGAGCTGCTCAAGGACAATATGCATTTCGTTCGATGAATTAGCATTTTCGCTTAACTGATGAATATCAGACACATTTTCTACAGATTCGTTAGACAAAACAGCGGCAATCGTTTCTGTGTGCAAGTGTCTTGCCACGCTTGTATCCATCGACGAAGCAGAAATTGTGGCAAATGACAATAGTCTTTTTTTCGCTGCATATGTACGCATAGGCAGTATATTAAACATGCTTATAGTACTCGCCTACAGTGTTTATTCCTTTGTGTGCGGATTAGCAGTCGACGAAGGATTGTCACACGTCTCCTTTATGGTATTCGACTTATTCGGCACTTTCAATTGCCGAAGAAGACGCATTCTTTTGGCTACAGATATGTGCGAAACAGAACGCGACTTTGATAACACTTTCTTCACATCCATTGCGAAAAAAGAAAATGAAACGTAGCACGTCAATAGCGCTGTTTACCATCAACAAAGAAGTGCACGAATCACGATTCGCTCGACGTATGAAGTCCACGCATGTAGGCTATTCGGCGCACCGAGGAATAGTAGATAATAGATGAACAATCACAACAATGAGGCGGACACAGTTTACAAGAAACGTTATATGAACTTTTTGTTACATTGAAATGATGTAAAGCTTTGTTACGTTTCCGTACAATGTTTTGTGATTGCTTTACTAATACAACATTAATGTATTGTTTTAAAAATATTCACATAATATGTTAATATTAAAAAAACATAACATAAAACATTTGTTGCATTTGTGTACTCAGTAAACAAAAATATGAAAGCAAACAACATATGATATTTCAACAAATTATCAATGGCGTATTGTAAACTTTTATTATACTTATTGCATATATACGAGGGTAGTTCCAGAAGTACCTGATCTAACAAAGAAAACACAAAAAATTTGGGAAAAAATATCTTTATTTCTCTACATAGTCTCCTTTTAGCTCAATACACTTTTCCCAGCAATGTTCAATAGCTTCGATACCCTGTTTATAGTGGGAATCGTCGAGTTCCTCAAAATAGCCATCAAGCCATCTTGGTCCATTGTTTTGACTGTTCCTTCGTCTCAAGTGTGAAGTGATAGACCCACATTTCATCCATGGTTATGAATCGACGCAAAAACTCGGCTTTATTGCTGCGAAACTTCGCTAAACATTCGTTTGAAACATTCTCACGACGCTGTTTTTGTTCCAATCGCGGCACCCATTTTGCGCACAGCTTTTTCATGTCCAAATTTTCAGTCAATATGCGATGTACAGCACTTTTTGAAAT